TACGTTTGTGACACACGATTTCCCATCCCTGAATCCATGCTGGTTGTCGTTGATAAGCTCATTCCTTTCTAGATGCTCAACCACTCTTCTCCTGATAATCTTCTCCATGACTCTGCATACTATACATGTCAGTAACACTGGTCTGTAGTTTAGTGCTGTCTGTCTGTCTCCTTTCTTAAAAACTGAGACTACATTTGCTGTCTTCCACACCTCAGGTAGTTAGTTAGTTTAATATGTTTATTATGCACCCCATACCCATCCTGTGGGCGGTAGTCAAAAGATTACAGAGGTACATAATTGGTCCAGGGACTGGACTCCAAAGTTTTGATAGCTGAGCAAGTTACAGAGGTAATGAACTCACAATTTACAAAGGTAATGAACTCACAATTTACAAAGGTAATGAACTCACAATTTACAAAGGTAATGAACTCCAGGTAAGTCTGGTCACAATCAGGTAGTTGTGCTGTTTCGATAAATGTGTTGAAGATTGTTGTTAGTGGTACAAACAGTGCCTCTGCTCCCTCTCTCAGGACCCATGATAGATGTGTTGAAGATTGTTGTTAGTGGTACACATAATGCTTCTGCTCCCTCTCTCAGGACCCATGGAGAGATGTCCAGTCCCATCGCTTTTGAGGTATCTAGTTCACTTAGCAGCCTCTTCACTTCCTCGGTTGTGTGTATTGTGTCCAGCACTTGATGGTGTACCCCACCACTTTGTCTTTCTGTAGTCCTTTCTGTCTCCTCTGTGAATACTTCTTTAAATCTCATATTGGTATCTTCACATACTTCTAGATTGGTTCATGTGAACTCCCCTCCTTCCTTCCTCAACAATCCTTAACTGTTGTGTTCCTCCTGATGTGACTGTACAACAGCTTCAGGTCAGACTTGGCTTTTGATGCTATGTCATTGTCGCTGGACCTGCCCCCTTACCTGTGCATATTGCTTTCTGGCTCTTCAACTAATCTTATTCTCCTGGGTCCTTTGTCTTCTATACTTCTTCCATTCTCTAGCACACTTAGTTTTGGCCTCTCTACAACTTTGGTTGAACAAGGCTCGTTCTGGCCTTCTCATTACCTCTGTTGCTCTTGGGTACAGACTCCTCCTCAGCTTCCTTGCATATTGTTCTCACATATTCCACCATCTCATTTACTGATTTTCCCACCAGTTGTCTGTCCTACTGAACCTCATGCAGGAAATTCCTCATGCCTATGTAGTCCCTCTCTTGTAGTTTGGCTTCACCTGCCCTACTCTCCCTGCTTCCCTCTCCACTTGTAACTCTATGTATTTGAAGCTCAGAACCCCGTGATCATAAGTTCTGAGGGGCTTTTCATATGTGATTTCACCAATGTCTGAACTGCTCAAGGTGAATACTAGGTCTAGTCTTGCTGGATCGTTCTCTCTCTCTCTCTCTCTCTCTCTCTCTCTCTCTCTCTCTCTCTCTCTCTCTCTCTCTCTCTTCTCTCTCTTCTCTCACTCTCTCTCAGTAGGTTCTTGGAAGTCATTGTTGACATGATACCAAAATTCCTGGCCATTCTACCAGTGAGCACAGGCTGCCAGCTGCCTCACCCACAGCTGGTGCTTGGGGTTATTACCCTTATCACAGCTGGTGCATACCTGCAGTATGCACCAGCTGTGGGACAACCAGGGGTCTTTAAGACAACCAGGGGTCTTGAAGACAACCAGGGATCTTGAAGACAACCAGGGGTCTTGAAGACACCCAGGGGTCTTAAAGACAACCAGGGGTGTACTGGTAGCCGCCTTACATACACTGGAAGACAGTTGAACAGTCTTGGTGCCCTGACACATACAATGCCAGAGTCTGCAACACAAGCAGGTGTTGCAAGATCATTAATACTGCAGGTGTTGCAACTCCATTAATACTGGAAGAGTGTTGCAAGGTTAATTAACCTGGCAGTATTGATGGACTGACTGAGCACATATAAACTGTCAGAGTACCAGAACTCTCACTGCTGGTACTGCACTCATACCAGGTACACACTGCTACTATACACTGCCTGTATACACTGTCAGAGTACCAGAACTCTCACTGCTGGTACTGCACTCATACCAGGTACACACTGCTACTATACACTGCCTATATACACTGCCAGAGTACCAGAACTCTCACTGCTAGTATTGCACTCATACCAGGTACACACTGCTACTATACACTGCCTGTATACACTGTCAGAGTACCAGAACTCTCACTGCTGGTACTGCACTCATACCAGGTACACACTGCCACTATACACTGCTTCTATATACTGCCTATACACACTGCAAATATTCACACTGCCTATACATACTATGTATATACACTATTTTGAATCATGTACACTTATATATATATATATATAATATATATATATATATATATATATAATATTTTATATATATATATATATATATATATATATATATATATAATATATATAAACATACTTTTCAGAATGTGTTGTGGGTTGATCGCTATCTCTTGGCTCCTCTGTGGTAAGTAGTGACTTGTGTGTAGACCTAGGTGCAGCAGACCTAGGTGTGGCTACAGCAGACCTAGGTGTAGCAGACCTAGGTGTATCAGACCTAGGTGTAGCTACAGCAGACTTACGTGCAGCAGACCTAGGTGTAGCAGACCTAGGTGTAGCAGACCTAGGTGTAGCAGACCTAGGTGTAGCTACAGCAGACCTACGTGCAGCAGACCTAGGTGTAGCAGACCTAGGTGTAGCTACAGCAGACCTACGTGAAGCAGACCTAGGTGTAGCAGACCTAGGTGTAGCTACAGCAGACCTAGGTGTAGCTACAGCAGACCTAGGTGTATCAGACCTAGGTGTATCAGACCTAGGTGTATCAGACCTAGGTGTAGCTACAGAAGACCTACGTGCAGCAGACCTAGGTGTAGCAGACCTAGGTGTAGCTACAGCAGACCTAGGTGAAGCAGACCTAGGTGTATCAGACCTAGGTGTAGCTACAGCAGACCTACGTGCAGCAGACCTAGGTGTAGCAGACCTAGGTGTAGCTACAGCAGACTTACGTGCAGCAGACCTAGGTGTAGCAGACCTAGGTGTAGCAGACCTAGGTGTAGCTACAGCAGACCTACGTGCAGCAGACCTAGGTGTAGCAGACCTAGGTGTAGCTACAGCAGACCTAGGTGTATCAGACCTAGGTGTATCAGACCTAGGTGTAGCTACAGAAGACCTACGTGCAGCAGACCTAGGTGTAGCAGACCTAGGTGTAGCTACAGCAGACCTAGGTGAAGCAGACCTAGGTGTATCAGACCTAGGTGTAGCTACAGCAGACCTACGTGCAGCAGACCTAGGTGTAGCAGACCTAGGTGTAGCTACAACAGACCTAGGTGTAGCTACAACAGACCTAGGTGTATCAGACCTAGGTGTAGCTACAGCAGGCCTACATGCAGCAGACCTAGGTGTAGTAGACCTAGGTGTAGCAGACCTAGGTGTAGCAGACCTAGGTGTAGTAGACCTAGGTGTAGCAGACCTAGGTGTAGCAGACCTAGGTGTAGCAGACCTAGGTGCAGCAGACCTACGTGTAGCAGACCTAGGTTCAGCATACCTAGGTGTAGCAGACTTAGGTGTAGAAGACCTAGGTGTAGCAGACCTAGGTGTAGCTACAACAATTACCTTCAATTTTTCAGGTGCTTTAACGTACCTAGGTGCTTTTACAGCGTCCCTAGGTGCCTCTACAACGTCCCTAGATGCCTCTACAGCGTCCCTAGGTGCCCCTACATCGTCCCTAGGTGCCTCTACAGCGTCCCTAGGTGCTTCGACAGCGTCCCTAGGTGCCTCTACAGCGTCCCTAGGTGCCCCTACATCGTCCCTAGGTGCCTCTACAACATCCCTAGGTGCCTCTACAGCGTCCCTAAGTGTCTCAACAGCGTCCTTAGGTGCCTCTACAGCGTCCCTAGGTGCCTCTACAGCGTCCTTAGGTGCCCCCACATCGTCCCTAGGTGCCTCTACAGCGTCCCTAGGTGCTTCGACAGCGTCCCTAGGAGCAGCAATAGCAGCTACCTACAACAGTCTTCCTGAGGTGCAACGTAGAATGGCACCTATGATACACCTATGTGTCAGTGACACTCTAGGTCAGAATTATTATTATAATAATTATTATTATGATTATTATAAATATTACTATTATCATTATTATTATTATTACTATTATCATTAACACATCGGCTGTCTCCCACCAAGGCAGGGTGGCCTGAAAAAGAAAAACTTTCACCATCATTCACTCCATCACTGTCTTGCCAGAAGGGTGCTTTACACTACAGTTTTTAAACTGCAACATTAACACCCCTCCTTCAGAGTGCAGGCATTGTACTTCCCATCTCCAGGACTCAAGTCCGGCCTGCCGGTTTCCCTGAACCCCTTCATAAATGTTACTTTGCTCACACTCCAACAGCACGTCAAGTATTAAAAACCATTTGTCTCCATTCACTCCTATCAAACACGCTCATGCATGCCTGCTTGAAGTCCAAGCCCCTCGCACACAAAACCTCCTTTACCCCCTCCCTCCAACCCTTCCTAGGCCGACCCCTACCCCGCCTTCCCTCCACTACAGATTTATACACTCTCGAAGTCATTCTGTCTTGTTCCATTCTCTCTACATGTCCGAACCACCTCAATAACCCCTCCTCAACCCTCCGGACAATACGTTTAGGAACCCTGCACCTTATAATCTCTACGCTATGGATTCTCTGCATTATATTCACACCACATATTGCCCTCAGACACGACATCTCCACTGCCTCCAGCCTTCCCCTTGTTGCAACATTCATCACCCATGCTTCACACCCATATAAGAGCGTTGGTAAAACTATACTCTCATATATTCACCTCTTTGCTTCCATGGATTAAGTTCTTTGTCTCCACAGACTCCTCAGTACACCACTCACCTTTTTCCCCTCATCAATTCTATGATTCACCTCATCTTGCATAGACACATCTTATAATTATTAATGTTGTTGTTGGCCTGACAGAGGGTGTGGTAGGGGGTGTATGGAGGGGGGGAGGGCCAGCAGTGGCCCTCTGGACTGGCCGTGAGTGCCAGACTGTGGCCCTGGGACATGCCACCTACCACCTCGGTGCCATCTTCATCCTGGTCGACCACCTGCACCCACTACTCAACTCCCTGGCTCTGGTAAGTTAATATTCCCACTAAGTTCCTTCTATTGCAACACTTAGATTTAGACTCCATATTTTGATCCAAAAAATAATGCAGGCTGTTCGACCCATTTTCAAAGTAATTTGCTTAGAAATAAGGTCTATTATTTTAAAACCTCCTATATAAAGACCAGTCAGGGAGGCGATGCTCCTGATAAAGTTCTGCGAACTAAAGTGAAAGGCCTCAAGATCTAATATTTATTATTTTTCTATTTTTTTCGGCAGATTCAAGAATTAGTGTCCAATAACTCCATTAATATACAAGTAAGTACATGTACAGGTATTGTACAGGGTCAGATAGACTGTTACAGTGGACCCCCGAGTTTCGTGATTAATCCGTTCCAGAGAGTCCGCCGAAAGTCGGAATTTACGAAACTCAAAACCATTTTCCCCATAAGAAATAATGGAAATAAAATTAATCTGTTCCAAACACCCAAAAATATTAAAATAATTTTTTTTTTTCAAATTAAATAAAGATTTACATACTGAAAACAATCAGATATCAAGTACATGCATATAAAAAATAATAACATTGCACTTACCTTTACTGAAGACTTCTGGTTGGATGGAAGATGGGAGGAGGGGATAGGAGGAAGGTGTACACTATTGTTTGGAAGGAGAATCTCCTTCCATTAGGATTTCAGGTAGCAAGTCCATTTCTGGGGTTACTTCGCTACTTCTTTTAATGCCACTGGGAACAACTTGAGAGTCACTGGACCCCTGTCGCACAAAATATCTGTCCAGAGAGGTCTGTTTCTGGCATTTCTTTATGATTTGCCTGAAGTGGGACAAGGTTTTGTCACTGAACATGTTGCAGATATGGCTTGTTTCAGCTTGGTCAGGGTGATACTTTTCAACAAAACTTTGCAACTCATTCCACTTTGAACACATGTCCTCAATCACCGAAGAAGGCACCTCCCTCACTCTCTTTTCCTCCTCCTCTGAAGCAAGTTCCTCAGCTGTGGTTGAAGGTCTTGCAGTTCGTCAGTGGTTATCTCTTCCCTGTGGTCCTCCACCAACTCTTCCACCCCATGGACTTGCCCAATGCCACAACACCTTCCACACCAGTCCACTAACACCCAAGATGTGACCCACACCAGTCCACTAACACCAGATGTGACCCACACCAGTCTACAACACTCAGATGTGACCCACCCAGTCACTACACCAGATGTGACCCACACCAGTCACTAACACTCAGGATGTGACCCACACCAGTCCACTAACACCCAGGATGTGACCCACACCAGTCCACCAACACCCAGGATGCCACCCACACAAGTCCACTAACACCCAGGATGCCACCCACACAAGTCCACTAACCCCAGGATGCCACCCACACCAGTCCACTAACACCCAGGTACCTATTTACTGCTAGGTGAACATAGACAACCGGTGTAAGGAAACACGTCCGATGCTTCCGCCCCTTCGCTGGGATCGAACCCGGACCTTCACCGTATGAAGCGAGGGTTTTTGCCACGAGGCCTATCATATGTTTGTACAGGGATTATACATGTCAGATACGACACATACACACACACACAACAATATATATATATATATATATTATATATATATATATATATATATATATATATATATATATATATATATATATATATATATAATAATATATATATATATATATATATATATATATTCTTCTTCAGAAAACATTATGTATGTTGGTGAGTGTGGATGCTATGACTACTGAGATGAGATCTACACTGGAGGGCAGCATCCCTGAGATGCTGAAGATTATCCTTCTCAGCCTGGTCTATCCTGCATTATCCTGGGATAGTAGAGGGATACCTGGAGGCAGCTGGGATAGCCAGAGCATCTGGGATAAGAGGGATAGCCAGAACATCAGGTACTGGGATAGGCAGTGCCAGACAGTGCCCCAGCAGTCAGGAAGTGCCCAGGTGAGTCTCCAGGTACCTGAGTACCCAGGGGATGGCAGTGTCACCTTCAGGAGGGCCGGGAGCTGGAGCTGCACCTCAGGGCTCATCCTTCAGGGACCACTAACACCTGCCCCTTCAAGTAACTTCAAGGGCAGGACCTTAATTCTTACTGCTGTGAACGTAAGTACTGACCTTATTGATAAGACACATGTACAACACCTAGGTGTCTTTGTTGATGAATAAGACACATGTACAACACCTAGTTGTCTTTATTGATGAATAAGACACATGTACAACACTTAGGTGTCTTTATTGATGAATAAGACACATGTACAACACCTGGGTGTCTTTATTGATGAATAAGACACATGTACAACACCTGGGTGACTTTATTGATGAATAAGACACATGCACAACACCAGGGTGACTTTATTGATGAATAAGACACATGTACAACACCTAGGTGTCTTTATTGATGAATAAGACACATGTACAACACCAGGGTGACTTTATTGATGAATAAGACACATGTACAACACCTGGGTGTCTTTATTGATGAATAAGACACATGTACAACACCTGGGTGTCTTTATTGATGAATAAGACACATGTACAACACCTGGGTGACTTTATTGATGAATATTAAATTAATTTACCTTCCTTTGGTTAGAAACCCAGGGTCTTCGAAGTTCAGAGACCTCCAGGGACCCCCAAAGACCTCCAGGGACCCCCAGGGACCCTCAGGGACCTCCAGGGACCCCCAAGGGACCCCCAGCGGCCAGGGTCCCTCAAGAACGTGCAGGGATACATGGCAGAACTAGTCAGGGTCCTGGAGATACATCTCAACTTTTCCTCAGTCGTCACCACTACTAACGCTTTTGGGTGTCAGTCCCGCAATGGTTCCTGGGATGGCATGATAGGCCTCCTGGCTCGTAAGGTAGGCCTTCTGGCTTGTAAGGTAGGCCTACTGACTCGTAAGGTGGGCCTACTGGCTCATTAGGTAGGCCTACCGGCTCAAAAGGTAGGCCTACTGGCTCGGAAGGTAGGCCTCCTGGCTTGTAAGGTAGGCCTACTGGTTTGTAAGGTAGGCCTACTGGCTTGTAAGGTAGGCCTACTGGCTCGTAAGGTAGGCCTCCTGGCTTGTAAGGTAGACTCATATGGCCTCGTTAAGGTAGGCCTCCTGGCTTGTAAGGTAGGCCTACTGGCTCGTAAGGTAGGCCTACTGGCTCATAAGGTAGGCCTCCTGGCTTGTAAGGTAGGCCTCCTGGCTTGTAAGGTAGGCCTACTGGCTTGTAAGGTAGGCCTCCTGGCTTGTAAGGTAGACCTACTGGCTCGTTAGGCCTCCTGGCTTGTAAGGTAGGCCTACTGGCTCGTAAGGTAGGCCTACTGGCTCATAAGGTAGGCCTACTGGCTCATAAGGTAGGCCTACTGGCTCATAAGGTAGGCCTCCTGGCTTGTAAGGTAGGCCTACCTGGCTCGTAAGGTAGGCCTCCTGGCTTGTAAGGTAGGCCTACTGGCTTGTAAGGTAGGCCTACTGGCTTGTAAGGTAGGCCTCCTGGCTCATAAGGTAGGCCTACTGGCTCATAAGGTAGGCCTACTTTTCTTACATGTCATATGTGACAGTACAAGTGATACATTTGCCATATAAGACAATAAGGTCGTTATTACCACACTACAGCAGGCAGACTTGGCCCCTCTGGACCTCTCACCATCCTGGGACAGGACGCAGGTAATAGACTTCAGTCAGTGGATGGGAATAGACAATGTTATTATTCTATCAAGATCACCTCATCCACTACGTCAACCCTTCCTTCTACTGCAAGTCTTCAGTCCATGGGTACGTCAATTCCTGTTTGGAGAGTAGGGGGTCAGTCCCTGAGTCTGGAGAGTAGGGGTTCAGTCCCCAAGTTTTGATAGATGGGGGTCAGGAGGTCAACTGGACCATGCTAGGTAGGTTCAACACTACAGTAGCCCTACTGGACCATGCTAGGTAGGTTCAACACTACAGTAGGCCTACTGGACCATGCTAAGTAGGTTCAACACTACAGTAGGTCTACTGGACCATGTTAGGTAGGTTCAACCAGTAGGCCTACTGGACCATGCTAGGTAGGTTCAATTCACACACTTACACTAACACACCTGTCTTACAGGTGTGGCTGGCCATATTACTGACAGGTGTGGCCACAGGAAGTGTACTATGGGCCATGGACCACATCGTCTGGAGTACACAAGCCCACAGGTGAGTACAGATTTGTACAGGTGTGTACAGGTGTGTATGTGTGGGTACATGAGTTGAACCTACCTAGCATGGTTCAGTAGACACTAATAGACCGATTCTCCACAGGTTGAGTAATGGACTGAAGACGCCATATAAGTTATACGAGACTGCTGTTGTCTCTACTCTCAAACTGTTCGTTATGCAAGGTGAGTACACTGAGTACACTTGTACAGTGAGTAGAGTAACTACCAGCTACCCATGCGTGTTTACAGCACACAACCCATACATTACAGGTAGTAAGTGGAGCTGCAGCTCCTGGTCTGGTAGACTGGCCTCCTGCTGGGTATTCCTGGCTGTGGTATCCCTAGTGTCACTTTACCAGGGCACTGTGGTATCCTTCCTGGCTGTACCCAGGATAGACAGAGCAATAGACAGTGCATTGGAACTGATAGATAGACTGCACACTGTCACACCTGTTGTACGCAAGAACACTGTCTATTACGAGTTTATTATCGTGAGTATAACGAACCTGCTCTGGTTCTGCTCTATGGTATCTATGGTTATACTGGAACTGCTCTATGGTAATACTGGAACTGCTCTATGGTATCTATGGTAATACATTATTCTCATCTATTTCAGAATTTTGAAAAGTACAGAAAAATTGCAGACAACTTGATGTTTCTGCCAGACTCTTACCTGGACACATGGGACTTCTACAGTCATATACAGCAGGGCAAGTATGCTCTCATAGGTGGGTATCAGTCCCTGTACTGGTAGTCAGTCCCTCAGAGAGTGGTAGATGGGGTAGTCAGTCCCTCAGACAGTGGTAGATGGGGTAGTCAGTCCCTCAGGGAGTGGTAGATGGGGTAGTCAGTCCCTCAGAGTCTGAGGGACTGACTGTCAGTCCCTCAGACAGTGGTAGATGGGGTAGTCAGTCCCTGAAACAGTGCAATATAAGGTAGTCAGTCTCTCAAGCAGTGCAATATTGTCAGTCCCTCAGACTTGGTGAACTATACAACGTAAGATAAGGTGGTCAGTTGGTTTAGAAAGACACGTAAGCAAACACTATAACATATTTATTAGAAAACGTTTCGGTCCTGGAAAGTGATCAAGGTTCCAGGACCGAAACGTTTTCTAATAAATATGTTATAGTGTTTGCTTACGTGTCTTTCTAAACCAACTTGTCGGTATTTATTACCAAGGTTTATACCAAGGTGGTCAGTCCCTGAGAGAGTATGTTCTCGCATATTCTTTCACATATTTTCTCACATATTCCCCCACATAATCCTCCCCCAGACACCTGGTCATCCAGTGTTGGTCGTAGTGTGAAGTATGAGGGTCGTCAAGGTCAGTGTCGCTATCATCAGTCAAGTCAGGTGTTGAAGAGTGACCTTGATGTTATGACCTTTCCTCACAACTCTCTCTACAAGGACCTTATTGACCACAAGTTAGTGTAGCGACCTTAATGTATACCAGGGGGTTGAGTTACCGCCACTACTAGTGTTAGTGTAGTGACCTTAATGTGTAGCAGGGGGTCAAGTTACCGCCACTACTAGTGTTAGTGTAGCGACCTTAATGTGTAGCAGAGGGTCGATTCACAGTTCTTATGCAGTTTTTGCTGTGTCTAATAATAATAATAATAATAATAATAATAATAATAATAATAATAATAATAATAATAATAATAATAATACAGGCTGGTCCAGCTACGGTCCTTCGGTATTATAAACAAGTTAAGATCGGTCCAATTCATGGTCCAGTGTCAGGACCAGCCAGTCCACCAGGTCCACCTGAAGTCCCTTGATATATACCAGGTCAGTCCCAGGTCTCACTACCATATTTTATCTTACCCTGAATCAAAAATGTGAGTGTCCTTTAGTTAATGAGGGGTTTTTCTATATATATTTTTTTTCATTTTCAGACACAGAGTGTGTTCCATGTCATGGTTGCTGGGTTGTTAATCTCAGTGGTAGTGTTACTGGTGGAGTTATTGTGTTACTACTGCTACCAGTAACAGTGTTACTACTAGTACCAGTAACACTATTGGTGTTACTACTACTACTACCCATAACACTACTGGTGTTACTACTAGTACTAGTAACACTACTGGTGTTACTGCTACTACCAATAACACTACTGGTGTAACTACTACTACCAGTAACACTATTGGTGTTACTACTACTACCAGTAACACTACTGGTGTTACTACTACTACCAGTAACACTACTGGTGTTACTACTACTACCAGTAACACTACTGGTGTTACTACTACTACTACCCATAACACTACTGGTGTTACTACAAGTACCAGTAACACTACTGGTGTTACTACTACTACCAAGTAACACTACTGGTGTACTACTAGTACTAGTAACACTACTGGTGTTACTACTACCAGTAACACTACTGGTGTTACTACTACTACCAGTAACACTACTGGTGTATACTACTACTACCAGTAACACTACTGGTGTACTACTACTACTAACCAGTAACACTACTGGTGTTACTACTACCAGTAACACTACTGGTGTTACTACTACTACCAGTAACACTACTGGTGTTACTACTACTACCAGTAACACTACTGGTGTTACTACTACTACCAGTAACACTACTGGTGTTACTACTACTACTACCAGTAACACTACTGGTGTTACTACTAGTACTAGTAACACTACTGGTGTTACTACTACCAGTAACACTACTGGTGTTACTACTACTACCAGTAACACTACATAAGACAGAACACAACATGAGGCCCCACACAGCACAGAAGAACTTCCTATACAAATATCTGGCATCACTTCAGGTCCTGTCATCTCACCTACTCACTACTTGACATGTCCCCCTACCTACCATGTCCTTGTATGACATGAATGTAACCTTCCCCATGTATTCTTCTAGTTTCACTTGTGTATCCGCTGAAGAGGACCCCAGAAGAGGGTCAAAATATACACATCAATCATTCTCCTGTATTTCTGTTTCCATGTGTGTTATTACTGAGCACTGACAATTGTTCATTATACTTTAGCTATACAGAGTATATGCATACATACATACAATTTAGGCCTCGTTATACATAGTGTATGTGCACACACAGCAGACCATCAATTAATGCGTGTTCCTTTACCACACTTTCTCTATTACACGACAGTCACCTTCCTACTTACGAACAGGTTCAGTTCCGAGCTATCATTCATAAGTCTAGCATATGCGTGTGTACAGTATACCTGAGCACAGCAAATATACGTACTGTACACTGGTAAACATAACATGTGTTATAAATTAAATAATGTTGATAATGTTTATAATAGTGTAAAATAATATTATTTAATAATATAGACAGTGAGAAGGTATTGCAAATTGTTCGTATTATCGAAAGTTCACAACACGAATGGTCGTATGTAGGGGAGTCTCTGTATTACAAAATTGTGATATATTTTAATACTGTTAAATTCAACTAACACTGTCACTTCTGAGAAAGTAATTGGAATGCCAGGAGCTGGAGTATGGCAGTTTCCCCTCCATCTAGTGAAGTTATGGACAGCCTGTGTGTCAGGTCACTGTCATTGCTGGAGTAGGCCTGGCTTCCTTTCCTGTCTGACCTCTCATTGGTCCATACGTGTCCCATACAAGTCTCAGATCTGTGTTTGCGATTCAGTAAGTTGATTCCTTCAGAGCTGTCAATACATGCAGTGTTCTCATACCAATAAGTCATTTTGACTTTTCTTGTGTTATCCTGGTGGGTAATTTACACTGTGCATGATAACTGTACGTTCTTATGTGTACGTGTATCTGAATAAACTTACAATACTCAAACATCAGCTTGCCGGAGATGATGTTTATGTACATATTGAGAGGGTAGACATGACCTGCACATGTCCAGGAGAGGGACTCTCCCAGTATTTATATCCAGTAGTCCCCCTTGTATCTGCAAGGGATACCTTCCAAGAACTACCATGGATGTCAGAAACCCTGGATAGTAGTGAACACTATACAGTGGAACCTCGGTATATGGCCAGCTCCCTGTTCAAAAAAAGCTCAGCACTCGACCAAGCAAATACAACATGCCAGAACTCTGCGGTAAACTATTTCATGTTTCTTCACATTTTTTATTTTTTTTTTGTATTATCTGTATAAATAAGTCACCATGAGGCCTACGACGATTAGTGATAACAGCTGACCAAAGAGAAAATTGGTTGGGAAGAACTTGTTTGATACTCAGAGAGGCACTCGAACAGCCTTCTGGAATGAATTAAGGTCGCAAACCAAGGTTCCACTGTATATAAGTTGTTTTTGGTTTACATACATAGCCATGACGAAGTATAATTGATAAATTGTGCACAATAAGTGGAGAATTATCACTTTTTCACTGATGGGAAGAACTTCACAACTTCTCTTAGGCTTTGAACAACTGTCACCATCACTACTTTTGTGCTATGTCTCCATTATTATTAAGCAAAAATAAGGCTTATTTTCAGGCCATTATTAAACTAAATTAAGGCTTATTTTCAGACCATTATTAAGCAAATTAAGGCTTTTTTTTTAGGACATTATTACGCAAAATTAAGGCTTATTTTTGGGCCACAGTAAACCACGGATACCTTGGAACCATAGCAGAAACTGAATCCACAGATACTGGGGTTCTACTGCATCCTTATCTTCCTTTGCATAATAAAGGTTAAAAGTTCAAAGGAACCTGCATGTAATGTGTATACAGTATCTACTTCATATATATTTGTGTGTCAATTTAGATGGTATGCTTGTATATTGTGGTAAAGACTCTTATGATGTGTGAGGATGATGGTGGTGTTAAGGGCCACCAGCCTGCAAGCATCCCACCCACCCTTCCATAGACTGATATTTTTATTGCTGAAAATGCAATGGAAATGATACTTTGATTATATTCCTTTACTGTAATAAATTTATTATGTACTGAACAGCTGAATAATTAAATAATTACTGTGACTAATTGCTTTTGCACCATCGTAAAGTTGAATCATAAGTTGAACCATTGTAAGTAATGGACCACCTGTTAATTTGACAGCAGTGAGAGATACAGTGGCCCCAGGGGTGTTACAACCCTCAACCCAATGATGACATTATAATGGGAGAACACTAAGCCCATGGGGATTATACAGTGCCTATGAGGGTGTAGGGTGGATGGAAGGCATTCAGGCTTAATTCAAGGGACTGGTTCACAGATTCAATTCCCTTGAAGAAGGGCCAAAGCATCCCTCTCCAAAATCAGCAACCACAATATAAAGAAATATATTTCTGTAACATTTGTAGCCTTAAGCAATGCATTAAGCATAATACATCATAATGAACTGCAATTACATTATCATTTATATTTTTTATGATTTAGATATCTAAAAAGTTTGTCATTTTTGGGGGGTCTAAGGAATGTAACACTATTTTTTCTGTAAGTTCTTCAGTTTATTGTACACAAGTCATTCTGGAACACAACCTTATTTTCCCCCATAAGGTTTTCAGTTCCTTTTACACAATTCATCTTACAACATAACCATATTTTCCCTAATAAGGTCTTCAGTTTCTTTTACACAATTCACCTTGGAGCATAACCCTATTTTCCCCATAAGGTCTTCAGTTTCGTTTACACAATTTCATGCTGCACCGAGTCTTCAGGAACCTATCATGTTAATAGGTTTCCTGTACATACAATTTAGGCCTGGCTATACATAGAGTATATGTATATACATACAGTTTAGGCCTGGTTATAGAATATATATATATATATATATATATATATATATATATATATATATATATATATATATATATATATATATATATATATATATATATATATACATACAATTTAGGCCTGGCTATACACAAAGTATATGTATATACATACAATTTAGGCCTGGCTATACATAGAGTATATGTGTATATCAATAAAGCCAATATTTAACCCCAGGTTCTAGTGTTCTTGGTTCTTGGTTCTGTCTTGCTATGTGCGGGTTGAACTGTGACGAATATTTCTGCTGGAACAGCGGTCTAGGGTTGACAGTCAGCTCACTAGTAGTAGCAGTAGTGAGCTTAGTACCTGCTAGTAGTTTCTCAGCTCTGTCTCTCTCCTCAGCCTCTCTTCTCAGTCGTTCTCCTCTGAGAACTTCCAGTTTCTGCTGTTTCTCTCTCAGTTCTTCATCGTCAGTGCTGTGCATGGGACTATCTGTGCTACTACTGCTACTATTACTACTTGTCTTGCTTTTACTACCATCCAATCTTCCTCTCTTATGCGTATCTTTATCTCTGATGTTCATGTGAGTCTTTCGTCTCTTTGTTTCCCACGAATCATTATCACTGCTACTATCTCTCTCTCGTTTATCACTGCTTCTCTCTCTCCCTCGTTTAATGCCTCTCTCCATCCTGTCTTTATTCTTTGTTATTTTATCGTCTTCACTGTGTTTCCTCTTCCTGCTTTCCTTTCTTTTCCTTTTCCTGTGTTTCTTACTTTTCCTAGCTTCCTTTCTGTGTTTCTTCTTGTGTCGCTTCCTCTGATTTTCAGATTTATTCGCCCTGTTTACGTAATCAGTGGGAGGATTTGTGTTGTACTGACCATCAGTAGCCAATACCTGTGCTAATTGAGTTTTCTGTGATTTTAGACCTAAATTTGCGTTGCACGTAGTATCGGCAGCCGATATTGATGTTAATTGAGTTTTCTTGGCCGGTCTGAGTCCAGCATACTTAATGATGTCATTAATTGGGTCCATCCTACTCTTAGTCTTGAGTCCGACTTCGTCTAAGTCATCAGACGACTCGCCTTGGCCCCGCCGGGTGATTCTTCCACCAGCCACCTCATACCAGGCCTTTCCACCCTTAGCTTCGACCGAATCCTGGCCCAGATAGGTCAGGTACCCTATACTCTTCTCGTACTTCTCTTGTTCGGCCTTTTTCTCAGCCTCGTGTTCTGGATTGGCTCCGCTGGGTCGTTTCCCCTCTTCCAGGTCTCGGAAGAGATTGATGTTACCCTCGGAGGTGTAGATGTTGGCCTCTGGGGTTGACTTGGTTGAGGTGATCTGCGGTTGTGTGTAACCACCATCGTATCTCAGTCGTGCTGCTGTTCGTAGGTATGATGTACGTGCTTCCTGCTCCTGCAATATTATTATTATTATTACAGGTTGGCCATCACCAATCCAGCACTAATTTCAGCTAGCATAACTTCAAATTTCCTGGGTCACCACACCAACCTGCCGCTACTGTTTGGTGGTGCTACTTGCTGCATGAGTTATTCCAATTTCTTTTTCTCCATTTACTGTTATAACCTGCTCACTTTTAGCCCTAGCCATGGTTCCAATGAATAAAAGAAATGCTTTTCATTGTGGAAAGCACATACACTGTACATTGTCCATAAAGTCCATAAAAGATAAGGTGGTTTTGAAGCCACTGTCGGTCGCCATGAACTCAGCTCACTCAGATAAGCTGTGACTGGTAAATTTGGGCCTACATATGAAAGAATAGGTCTGTGTGGTAAGTGTGCACTATATAAAAAACAGTCCTGCAGCACGTAATGCATAATGAGAAAAAAACTGCGACTTATGTTTATGGTGTAAATCCGAATTTGCAGTGTATTTTCATGTGGTCTGTATGGTTGTAGTCTTGTTTTTTGGTCTCATTTGATAGAATGGAAGATATATTACTGAAATAGATATAATTTTGATTGGTTTCACGCTGGAAAGTACCTTAAAATTGAGCTCAAAGTAACGGAAATGTTTGATTTTTGCCGATGTTCAAGAGTAAACAAATGACGTCACCATCCAATGTGTCCAACTGGCTGGTCTAATACACAATCACGAATGAATTGGCATTATTAACACAATTATTACAAAAATGCAGTAGCCTGTATAACAGTAAATCTTCTATTGTTTTATATGAATAAAATTCAAAATGGAAAGCAAGAATAATATAAGAGGGTCCTGGAGACGTGATTAATGAACAGAGATAATGTTATTTTAGTGCCAGGAATGTCTGCCTTGTTTATTCTGGACCCTATTTTGAAACTGGCATCTTTTTGAAATTTGTGTGAAATTGGTCAAACTACCGATTTCTGACCATGTTATTGGGTAGTTTATATCGGTGAATGAGTGGTTTCTTGTACTCAGTCGACAGAATAGAAAGAATACTAGTGAAATAGCTATGAGTTTGGTAGACAGGAACACTGGAATGGGCCAAAAGTAAGGCATAAAGTAGGTGATCTCGTCAATGCACAAATATCGCTGTTGGGTTAAGTGTATTCTAGCCTAACCATTCTGTAATCCAGCAAAATCACTAATCTGGTGCCCTACAGGTCCTAGTGATGCTGGATTAGTGATGGTCAACCTGTATTACCCTATTATTTTTATTATTATAAATACTATTATTACTATTATCATTATTTTTGTATTTATTATTAATAAATCCTGAAATGTCTATACAAAGGAACTTTACAAGTGAACTGACTGTATACAGTGGAACTTTATAATAGAACTGACTGTATATACTGGAACTTTATAAGAGAAGTGACTGTATATAGTGGAACTGGCTGAATATAGTGGAACTTTATAAGAGAACTGACTGTATATAGTGGAACTTTATAAGTGAACTGACTGTATATAGTGGAACTTAATAAGAGAAGTGACTGTATATAGTGGAACTGACTGTATATAATGTAACTTTATAAGTGAACTGACTGTATATAGTGGAACTTTATAAGTGAACTGACTGTATAATAAAACTTACAGCAAGCTTGGCTCTCAGAACTTTCTGCTTGAGCTCTTCCTCAGCCTGAGCTTCATCGCGGCGCACACGGGCGATGTTGTCCTTCGTGCGCACATGCCACCTGTGAATGCAATAATAATTAGTATGTGTACATGTCTGCATACAGTATCCATACATATGTGTGCACATGTCACCTGTGAATGTAATAATAATTAGTAATGTGTACATGTGTGCATACATGTCCCAGGTTGAGGGACTGATTACCTCATACTCCTCCTCTCCTTACGCCTTCCTCTTTGTATTGGACTGATGAAGCCACTGTGTGGCGAAACATTTCCTGAATAAAGATTCCCATATGCTGCATAAGTGTCTCAATCTTCAATAACTGTGATGTTGAAATTAAGACACATGTGCAACGTCTACAATAAAGATACCCAGATGTTGCACATGTGTCTTAATTTCATCTTGTCGGTATTATATACCATTCTCGCACACCTGTGATGTTAACAAAAAAAAGGCACAATACCGTGACTGGAATGATACACAAATAACAGTGTGACTTTGTAAATGGTCCGAGTCGGACTGAAACATCGTCGTAAGTTCCTCTCTTCTATGTGCAGGTTATCTGTGTAACTGTGATGTTGATATACAGTAGTAAAATATTTAGTAAAACGTAACATACGATGCTATGTAGGTACTTTATATAGCAAAGGTTTGACATTATGCCCTACCGAGTATGTTGGCAATTTTCTAAGATTTGACTTTAGTCTATTTTGACTTTCGACCGGTTGGTCGGAACCAAGCTTGGTCGTAAGTCAGATGGTACTAGTATGTACACAAATGCATACAGTATATATACACACGTGCATGAGATATCTATACACAAGTATGTGTGTACAGTATGTATACATGTGTGTACAGTATACACACATGCATACAGGCCATGTGTACACACAACAACATCTATACATATGTATAATGTATTAAACACAACACATGTCTCATACAAAACTCTGGCAACTCCCAGGAAATACAAAAAAGAAGAAACAGAATCACCATTGTTCATACAGTCCTCGTCTTCTAAGAATTATTATTATCATAACCAAGCACTAAACCCTTAAGGGTCTGTCTTGCCGGCCTCAGACATGAAATATTAAGAGAATATCTGGGGAATCATGGACTGAATGGGGTTCAAACCCATGGTATGTGAATCCTGAATAATAATAAGTCTTATTTTAATAAAAATAATAACAGCAATAATAACATTAATATTTATATTATTATTATAATCCTTATATTTAGGGTGAAGCACTAAACCCACAGGGGTCACATAGCAAAGGACCCCAATGGAAATAAGTCACTCTGTCTGACTTTTTTGGGTTATCCCAGGTTGTCTACACATATGCTGCTATGTATGATAATTCTATGTAACTGTATTTGTGTATACCTGAATAAACTTACTTACTTACTTACTTACTTACTTACCGTGAAGCCCTGAGCTTCACTCCCTTGGATCAAGAACCTCAACCCCAGGGGGCTGCATGACCCCTACAGGTTTAGCTCTCAAAAGACCAGCAGACTCACCTCTTCTTGGGTAAGATGTTCATCTTCGGAGGTCAGGTCTGGGACCAGTCCTAGGGGGGTCCTGGGAGTCCTAGGACCAGTCCTTAGGGGGCCAGTGGCTCCCCAGAAAAGCTGTGACTTCGAGAAAGTTTATTAAGCTTGATAATAAGCAATGTAAGCTTAGTCTGGTCTGGGACCAGTCCTAGGGGGACAGTGACCCCGACGACACTACTGGCAACTTCGACCCTATTTTGGGGGGATTTGTAGCTTAGGATGCCTTAGTGATGTGTGCTGAGTAAGCTTATTAAGCTTGACAGTAAGCGCTGTCAGCTTAAACAGTCAGGTCTGAGCCCCAGTTCGTCCTCAGAATCAACACTGAAAATAATCATTTTTATTAACATTTCTGCTTTATTTTGGGTTAAAATTAGATAATATAACTTATATGTGTCCATAACAACTGTGTGCAGTCATTAATATTGCAAAAGATGTTGAATATATTGTAAAAAAAAAGGTTAAATATTGACTTACTTTCGTCGTTTTGTTGTTGTTGTTGGTTTATAGGGCCGCCGCTGATAGCGCCGTATTGAACCCTCTTTCCTGGGGGTACGGTCTTATTTTATTGATTTTACTGAGTTATCCTAGATTAAGCCTGCATAATATACTATGCATGTGTTTATATCACGTATGTGTCTTCTATTCCATTACAAAAATGTTGTATATCATCCATGAAAAGGTTAAATAATGACTTATAATCACTTCCAGCGCCATAATGAATCCTCGTAACTGGAAACGTAAACACATTTGCAGTTTGCAACTAATGTGACATTTTATTGTCGCAATGTTTCGCTCTCCAGGAGCTTTATCAAGCAGTTACAAGCAATACATGGACACAGAGGGTATATATAGGCTCAGAGTGAGGTGCAATACTAGTGAGGTACCATTTCGATGTTCACTAGTAGTAGTAGTAGTAATACAATATGGTGGAGCAATTAATTCGTACATGAGTAAAAGGATATAAAAGCTATTACTTGGGTAACATAAAAATAGGTTGGACAAATATAGACTGGAAAGAGGCAGCATGTTTCAGTGTTCACTCTCTGTAATGTGCTTTGTGATTATCAAATGGTATACAATACCGACAGGTTGTGTACGAATGGTATATAATACCGACAAGATGAGATTAAGACACATGTGCAACATCTGGGTATGGAAATAAATGGTATAAAATACCGACACAATGGCAATATAAACACAAATGCAGTATAATGTGATCCTTTATTGACTACGTTTCGCCCACACAGTGGGCTTTTTCAAGTCACAAACAGAACTACCTGGGGTGGAAGGAACGCGAGTATTTATAGTCCGGCTGAGGTCAGGTGAAGAATGCTGCATCTGATGATGTACCGAGTGGGGTTATAGAGTCTAAAAACTTGGGTAGCTTGGAAAGGAGACTGGACAAGTTTTTGAGCAGACCTTCTACAGTGTTCTTATGTGGGATAGCGATGAAGAAGTTTCTTGGCAAGTGGTTCAGCTATGTTATAGAAGCCACTATTCTGGTTGAAGTTGTCGGATATAGAAATAAGTGACTTCACTTATTTCTATATCCGACAACTTCAACCAGAATAGTGGCTTCTATAACATAGCTGAACCACTTGCCAAGAAACTTCTTCATCGCTATCCCACATAAGAACACTGTAGAAGGTCTGCTCAAAAACTTGTCCAGTCTCCTTTCCAAGCTACCCAAGTTTTTAGACTCTATAACCCCACTCGGTACATCATCAGATGCAGCATTCTTCACCTGACCTCAGCCGGACTATAAATACTCGCGTTCCTTCCACCCCAGGTAGTTCTGTTTGTGACTTGAAAAAGCCCACTGTGTGGGCGAAACGTAGTCAATAAAGGATCACATTATACTGCATTTGTGTTTATATTGCCAACATCTGGGTATCTTTATTGTAGACGTTTCGCCATCCAGTGGCTTTATCAATACAAATTCTAGGACATAACTTGAAGACAGTAGAACTATGTACAGAAGATGAGGTAATCAGTCCCTCAACCTAGGAGTAGGTGCGAAGAGCACCTACTCCTCAAAACTTTAAGGGTGATGGACTGATTACATCGTCTTCAAGTATCTTCTGCTTCTATCAACTTTTCTGTACTTGACTGAAGAAGCCTACTGTGTAGGCGAAACGTTTGATAATAAAGATACCTAACTGTTGCATATGTGTCTTACCTAACAACCTGTCGGTATTTTATACCATTTTAATGTTCAGTCAGTCCCTCAGCCTGGAGAAGTTCTGTTCCAAAGTCTGGAACTAACTGAAGATCAAGCGACAGTGTTGAGACTTAAATACTGTCGGAAGGAGAGGTGCAGAGTAGTAGTAGTGAGAATGTAGCCACTGAGAGGTCATGTTCCTCTCAGATCAAACAGTTCTCACTTGAAAAAGTTGTCCAAGGTGTTTTCTCTTCTGTACCAAGATGCCATTGTGTTGCAGTGTCTGACAGTGTGATTATCAAATGATATACAATACCGACAGGTTGGTAGATAAGACACATAGGCAACATTTAGGCAACTTTATTTCGAAACGTTTCGCCTACACAGTAGGCTTCTTCAGTCGAGTACAGAATTTAGGCAGGAGCAGTAGAGATGTGAAGACGATGTAATCAGTTCATCACCCTTGAAATCGTATATTTGAGGTTGTCAGTCCCTCAGCCTGGAGAAGTTCTGTTCCAAAGTCTGGTAGCAGTAGTGAGAATGCAGCGACTCAGGGAGTACCAACAGTGGTGAACATTAAAATGGTATAAAATACCGACAGGTTGTTAGGTAAGACACATATGCAACAGTTAGGTATCTTTATTTCGAAACGTTTCGCCTACACAGTAGGCTCCTTCAGTCGAGTACAGAAAAGTTGATAGAAGCAGATGAGACTTGAAGACGATGTAATCAGTCCATCACCCTTAAAGTTTTGAGGTGGTCAGTCCCTCAGTCTGGAGAAGAGCATTGTTCCATAGTCTGAAACAATTTGGAGTTGATGTGGAAAAAGACACTTATGTACAGTTCAGGACATTTATTAAAGGAAACGTTTCGCCACGAGTGGCTTCTTCAGTCCTAATACAGAGAAAACTAAGAAAACATTTATATATATAGTGGCAGGAGTCAGGTGAGGTGACGCGTGGGTAGAGGTGGTAGTAGTAGTAGTAGTAGTAGTAGTAGTAGTAGTAGTAGTAGTAGTAGTAATGGAACTAAGGAGGTGAGGCAAGAGAGGGACCTGCTGGCATCAAGTAACACCAGTTCCCAGGATGGGTAATATCCTCTTGCTTAGTAATTTTGAAATACTGTAACTACCGCATTTTTGCTTTATAGTGTTACTGACAGAAATTAGTGCAGCTTCAATGCATTTTCTCCGTCTTAAGTCGTCTTCTTTAATAACTAGTTTAGCTTCATTGAATTTCATGAGGTGTCCAACATCGTCTCCATGTTGAACACATGCGTTTTTGTGGTCATCATTTCTGCAAGCATTTTTGTGTTCTGCTATTCTAATGTCCAGAGTTCTGGCTGTTTCCCCTACATATACTTTGTCACACCCCCCACATGGTATAGTGTAGATTCCTGCACTTGTGCCAGAATCATGCTTGGGTTTTTGTATCAGGTTCCTAATAGTAGTTGAAGAGCTGGTAGATATTTTAGCCAGTTTTCTGTCAAACATGTTTGAAACATTAGTGGCAACGTTGCTGACCGGTAAAACGATGTAACTTGGAGGCTTTTCTTCAATTTGCATATGTGTCTAATTTATCAACATGTCGGTTCTCTGAACCATTCATCTACAAATCTGTCAGACACTGCAACTTCTTGGGATCTTAATACTTAGGAATTCTTCGCTTGCCTAATTCTTGGGCACGACCTACTTCAACATTGAACAAATGTGACACGACCTATGACTGCTGCACCTCTCCTGCCATACGGTTTATAAGCTGCTTCTCCGCTCATATGCCGTATTCTATTCAAGATTGATGGACTGAACACATCAACTCAAGGTTGAGGGACTGATTACCTCATTCTCCTCCTGTTCTTCAAGTTTCTCCTACGTATGGACTGATGAAGCCACTGTGTGGCGAAACGTTTCCTCAATAAAGATACCCAAGAGTTGCATATGTGTCTAATTTATCAACATGTCGGTTCTCTGAACCATTCATCTACAAATTTGATAGGTGTTGGTCTTGCTGAGGATACGTGCTGCACGTTTCCTACAGTCACGTATGAAGTGTAGGGGAAAGTGCAGTGAACTAAAAGAGTTGGTGATGTATGTACATTCTTCTTGTGCAAGAAAGGTATAAAATACCGACAATATGAAAGTTAAGACACATATGCAACATCTGGATATGGCAATATAAACACAAATGCAGTATAATGTGATCCTTTATTGACTACGTTTCGCCCACACAGTGGGCTTTTTCAAGTCACAAACAGAACTACCTGGGGTGGAAGGAACGCCTGCGTACAACACCGTAATTCACACAACCACTTGATAAACTACAGAAACTCAAGACTTATCGCCACAGAAGACAACACTCAATACCGAAGAATCCTGGAATCATCACTTATTTCTATATCCGACAACTTCAACCAGAATAGTGGCTTCTATAACATAGCTGAACCACTTGCCAAGAAGCTTCTTCATCGCTATCCCACATAAGAACACTGTAGAAGGTCTGCTCACAAACTTGTCCAGTCTCCTTTCCAAGCTACCCAAGTTTTTAGACTCTACAACCCAACTCGGTACATCATCAGATGCAGCATTCTTCACCTGACCTCAGCCGGACTATAAATACTCGCGTTCCTTCCACCCCAGGTAGTTCTGTTTGTGACTTGAAAAAGCCCACTGTGTGGGCGAAACGTAGTCAATAAAGGATCACATTATACTGCATTTGTGTTTATATTGCCATTGTGTCGGTATTTTATACCATTTATTTCCAACATCTGGATATCTTTATTGTAGACGTTTCGCCATCCAGTGGCTTTATCAATACAGATTCTAGGGCATAATAGGACAATATAGTTCTAAATGTCTTCCTATTAGTCCCCAGAATCTGTATTGATAAAGCCACTGGATGGCGAAACGTCTACAATAAAGATATCCAGATGTTGCATGTGTCTTAACTTACAGTCTTCTTCGAGGAACTGTGGACTGGAAATTCTGTAGGCTCTCAGAAAGAAGCCAATAACTACCCCTCTTTTAGTTCTTGTGTCATGGTGAGAGAAGAAATGTAGAAGATCGAACATTAAAATGGTATAAAATACCGACAGTGTTAGGTAAGACACATATGCAACAGATAGGTATCTTATTATGAAACGTTTCCCCTACACAGATAGGCTTCTCTCAAGTACAGAAAAGTTGATAGAAGCAGAGATACTTGAAGACGATGTAAATCAAATCCATCACCCTAAAGTTTTGAGGTGGTCAGTCCCTCAGTCTGGAGAAGGCATTGTTCCATAGTATGAAACAATAGGAGAAGGAAGTTGACAGGATGGAGCTTTTATAGCGCAGGAGGTGAGACGTAGGCCACAAGGGAGAGGTAAGAAAAATCAGATGTTGAAAGGT